GTCACGTAACAAACAAAGCGCTTAGTTTGCTGTTTCTATCACAGAATAAAACTCATTTCTCAACCTCAGAAGGAAGAAAGAGTAGTAATTCCGGTTGGGTCTCTTGGTTCTGAGTCTGTTGATGTTGATGCTCTACCAACTGAGCAACTTTTGTCCTGAACGTCATGTATACTCAATGACGTTGCATGACGCCATAATTTCTACAAGTGGCATAGAAAATTAGCACAGTACTAGTAAATCAAGCAACCAGAGCTAGAGCGTAAGTGTTTTTCGCACGGTGGTCTTCACTGCCTGAATTTCGTGACCCAGCAGTAGTGAATTCTATAATCGCAGCCGTGTACGGCCAGCATCCGTTCAATTTAGACCAATTAATTACAGTCAGACAGCAAAGGGATTTCGTAGCCTCGAAAACCAGATATTCTTTTCCACATACAACAGGTTCAGACTATGCTGATATTCAACAGAACTAATTAGCAAGCAATATTCAAAAATTTATCCATTATTGCAATTACGTTTAAGACAAGTCATTATACACAGGCAGAAAGATACTGCAAAATGTCGATCATTATTCACCGAACAAGGCCCAAAGAAAAAATTGTATCTTAATCACAAAAACTTCAGAAAGTCGTTTAAACGGTTATTGCTTTCTCAGATGAACGATCAGCACTGTAGCCCGGGGGTCCACCAGCAGTTGGAGGTTCCAACTTTTCCGCCGAACACTTTTCGAAATAATACGGACTTGGTACGCAATATATGACTTCATTTTTCTCCGGTTCTTTCTTAAATATGAAATCAAATTCAAATTTTAAGTACATGAAAAGACAGTCTGAAATTCAACTGATTCAGCACCAGTGCTTGAAATAAGAAATCTTCTAGACAGGACTTTCGACACAATGGATATAGAAACAAAGATGTAATTCTATATCTTGACCTGACGTTTGAATAACATATATGTTGTCCAACAGCAAGCAATACGCTTGATAATAGGGCGTGGCTTTCATCTGAAACGACGGCTCAGAACAGTGACCGCTGTCGATGCATCTTCATTGCGTTTATAACTAGTGCAGTGGAAAAGAGTCTGCCTAGAAGACTTCTCACATTTAAATATGAAACAGTTATTTGATCAACAGTAATGTCATCGAAGTCAAAACTAAACTCGAGGTTTAAGACAGGTAAGAAAATTCAAGGTAAATAAACACATAAGAACATAAACACGCAAGGCATCAAGACAGAAGCATTCATAAAGACAAAACACACCTTGATACTTCGTCGTTTGAAACCAGATCGCAAGAACAACGTTCCGATCCAAATAAGGCAGGCAGAACACAGTATTAATGCACTGTACAACAACAGTTTGGTGAACATGGACAGATTTCGAGCTCGCTGCGCGAAACACTCCATCAAGCCAAAGTCTAAAATCATTTCTTACAGTATTAACTTCAAAGTCGGTGCTGCTGAAATCAAAATCAGTATAAAGCACTTCACATCATAAGTACATTCTCTCGACGTATTACTAAAACCGTAAATGAGAAAGCTTCTTCTGCGGGGAACCAGGGGTGGGGGCGCCGAGGCGCAGGTATCAGTCATTCGGCACTGCGCTTTAACTTAGATGCGCGCATTCGAAACGCAGGGAAGCACAAAATTGTTCTGATTAACGTTTAGTCGAAATCAACCAAGAAGACAGTACGAGACGATCACGTTCTGACCGAAAATACTTACAACGATATCGCATCTTTCACAGTACAATACGTTGTCAAGGATGCCGACATTTTTGGAGAAAAATCTTAGCTAAACTGCAAGCTGTCAGTTTGCAGCACTGAATTAACCCTCGCCACCAGAAGTGGGATAAATATGCAAAGGTGATATACAAAGGCCTACCAGATTCGTTATTAATCTGATGCGAAACAAACAGCAAAAGAAGCATGCGCTGTAGTACGCAAACCCGGGAAACATCACACCATCTGATAAAGTCATTCAGGACTGAGAGACGACTAATCTCATGAACGAACCAGTGCAATTTCAAGGTTTTGCATTTCACTGGTTTTACATTTGTGACGTCATAACGAAAACGGACATCCCAACGGTTACACACTTTCCTTTTCCTTACTTGAAATGAGGAGAGTCGAACCGTGACTATTGACGGACGGCGAAGGCTGAGGTTGAGGCTGTATCGGTTGGTCACTGGCACGCGCTTCTTCTGAATCCAACGAGTACCGTGGCCCGACGACGTTCTTCTGAACACAAGACGATCAGTCATTAAACGATTAGTGCAGCACTTTACGTACCCCTACCTTAAAGGAACTGAACAATATCACAGGGTCATCGACGTCTTCCTGCTTGGGGAATGCCGGCTGGTCCGGCTTGTCGTCTTTGGGCAGCGGAACATCGACAGTTTCAACGACTACGTCGTTCATGTCGTCCGTCGGCGGCAGGTTGTCAGACGATTCTTGGACACGAGGAGAAAGCCCGAAGCGTTCAAAAACGTTCATCACCAAGTCCATCATCCTGCGATGATTAGCTAACTGTGTGGCTAAAGCAGCCGGGGGCATTGGTGGCTCTTCCGCGACATCAGCCGCTGCAGGAGGGGCCACGATCTCGACGTCTGCCCAAAACTGCGGTTTAAAGAACGTGCTCCAGTCGCGGTTGAACATGCTTCTGAAAAAGTGTCCTCTTCCGCCCTCAATTTCTGGTTCAACTTCTTCCCGCTGCGATATCGCCTACAAAACATGTGTTCTTAGTTACCGTCGTCCAACATCATCACGCACGGTACTTACGTTTGCTGGGCCGAAGTTCTGCTGAACACAGTCGCGACCACAGTCTGGGTTTTGTGAAAAGGGTTCCTGGGCACCCAGTTCGGCAGGCACGTCTGACAGCGCTGGTTCAACTCTTTCGACTTGCAAGCGATTCGATCTCAATGAAGCTGCCATTATGCATCCCGTCTTGCATTTGTCGTTTGCTTCTCTCTGAAGCGCATGGTTTAAGACAGTGTAAACTCTTTATCTACGACAATATTTGTAGCGGTATTTCAGGTTAGACATATCGTTGAATAACTGTCGCGTTGAATTTAAATTGCATCAAGTCAGAAAACAAAACCTGTGACGATGAGATCTCACAAACAGAGCCTGTCATTAAGAACACAATGGAGGAACGTTAGAATCAACTAAACAAAGGATACAGAAATCTAGAAACTCGATCGACTTGCCGCGATGAAAGTTAAAATCATCTCAAGGAAAGCAGAAAAGACACATGCCACTGAGTGAAACCAAGGAGCGAGAAACTGGATTTCCTTTGCTGCATGCGTAAGCTATCATTAAACCCGTTTATTCCTGGCGGTGAATGACTGCGTGTTAATTTCACTGCGGCAATGACACTGTCGCACGTCCGTACGATTAGTGGTTTACATCCACAGAGCAGTTCATACCATTATACAAAAGAACATGAGTTTTGCTGCAATAATGCTCGTTGCCTAGTATCAATATGACGTACCATTTCTAAAGTCATACATCACAAATCTAGCTTCCTCTGCTGTTTAAGCTCTGCTAGTCTTTGATGACGATTATCATTCGAAAGTGGTCGTATCGTGGGCATATTGTAACGGAGCATTAAGCATTTAGCTTAAAAACCAAACAGGACGTTATATATACGTAACATAAAATAAATTATACACTTTAGAGACGAATCAGCATCAACGTAAAGGATCATATTCCCGCTGAAAAATTTATGATGGAGGGCATTCTTCCTTCCAGGAAAGAAAGCGATATAGTGCACAGCTACAACCGACCGACCGACCGAAGATGTTAGGCACGACCAACAATGCCTTGGGGCAAATATCTCGACGGTTACTCGTCTAGACGCAGGTTTTTTTATGCCAAAGCTCAGGTGCAACCAATGAATCTGAAATGTTAGAGACAGTGTGATACGCTCCAAGCGAGCATCTACCACCCGAAAGGATAAATGGCCCTGAACGTGACTAAATGACGTCTCCCTTTCACTGAGTTCCGAATGGAAACCTACAGAAAGAGGAAGACGATGCTGTCAGACAATATCGTACAAAATACATAATTAAACATTATCGACGTCACAGAAATCATGTTAAAAAGCCAGATATGCTGTTTAGGTAGGAACCAAAGACAACAACTTAAGACTGATTATGATGTTATTGACATATTCAACCAAACATCAACGATAGCTTTTGAGGCTTGTCATGAATCCCAAAAAACAGATCGAAGTCTACAGTATGCATTGTTTTTAGCATGCAGTAAGCGATTTATTTTTTTTTGAATGTACTACGAGTTTTGGGTTTCCACTGAATTACATCAACAACATTTCTTGCACCTCATCTTTGAATAACGATGTCATTTGCATTTTACATAGAAGTCGATGCGATTTTAAAAAAACTGGTCCCATCAACGAAAAAAACCAGTAATCGGTCATTTTGTGAAAGTGTAGGAAAATGTTATGCGAAATTGCTGCAAACGCTCAAACGTAACCTTGATATGATGCCGACGAATAAAATCGTGGCCAGACTTCCGCTGTGCCTCAGGCCGTGCCGCGAACTCGTTATGCCTGCCACTTCATTTGGTTTGTTTCCGATCAGTGCTCACCAGCCTTGTGGAACAACCGACTAATGGACAAGAATAATACCAGTTAACTTGATGATAGATCGTATTGCTCCACGAATCTACAGACATGAGTGACTGGCACTTTACGAAATCAAGCCTGACCGTGAGACACGATTTTAAATGTCCAGGCATTACAAATCTGTGGACCATCCTGTTGTTAAGGTTCTGTTAACCTTCGACGATACTGTGAACTCGAAACGAATTACACCTCCGCTCAGTTATGTACTTGCTGTAATGCGTTCTGCAGCGACCGGAAAGGCTGCAGTAAGACCACAAACTAATGATCAGAAGACATGATCACTGATAAATTAATATGCAATATCTTCAAAAGCTGAACTGCATATATCTACAAAGTTTTTAATGTTATTTCTAAATAGTAATCAATTCTACGAATGCCGAACGCGACGTACCTTGCATAAGCTAATAAGCTTCGATTGACTGACAGCAAGAACAAAAAACTGTAGTCTAAGAAACTAGTATTCGATTTACGCTGTGAATGACGCATATAGATCACATGCCAGGAGATGAAAGTAGGTTAATGTATTCACATCAATCGCCAAGTTAATCACTGTCATGGATTTCTGGAATTCCAACTGAACAGGTAGTGATAACGAGCTATTGTTCAAACCTATTACATCATATAAAACAAATGTGCCTAAAAGAATGCTTCTATCAGAAAAGGACGTATGCTTAAACAACTTGCTTTCTAACGGCAAAAGAGTAAAAAAACCTATCGAGCACAAGTGTATTTGTAAAAAGAAATATAAAAATATAATCTGAAAGCATAAGTTTGCTGTTTAATCAGAATTTGCCTGTAAAACAATACGTTACCTTGTGAATCAGAAACGTAGATCAGAATCTAGCTGTCCATTAAACAAAACAAATATTTAGTCTTTCCAAAGTCCGCTATTTAATTCAGATGGCCGGGTTTAAATCATGTAAAAAATCCTAAGATTCGCTTTCTATTCTACCTTATCCCCAGTTATCGCCCCAAAAATTAACAGGCCTACCGACTGACTTATGTAGCCAGGTGTTATCGTACGCGCGGGTAAGAAATGCAAAAAATATATTTCTATTTCCCTATATCTCTCGGATTGCTCTATTCCGGACCATGTCGAGACAAGTGAGGCCAGTGATTCGTTTCAGAATGTTCATTTCAGCCACCTGTGCCAGGGATCGAAGTTTTTTAATCATGGTCCATGACTCACGAGTACTTAGTAGTATAAAACACTGATTAAAATAACCGACACGTCATAGAAAAAGTTATGTAAAGTTAGGAACGCAGCAAATATCACTAACCAGGGACGTTCTGCTTACGAAAACGGTTCAAGACAATGAACTCGATATACACGAAATAACAAAATATCAGTAAAAAAAACGATGACACATTTACGCAACTTTTTCTGTACTAACTTACGCAAATTGCTTACAGCAGCTGGCTACCGACGCTTCGTAAGTGCTGTATTAGAAACGGAAGTCAGCCAAGCGAAGCCATATAAAATGGAACATAACTCTTGAGTCGAAATTTTAATATAATCTATTGCCAAAAAGTTCATGTCCATAAATCAGTCATGTTTTAATCAATGACTACTTTATCGTCGCCAGATGCATATTACGTATGACCAAGGGCTAAGTTTTGCAATCATATAAAAATTTTAAATAAATCAAAATTTACTGTATAATATTTTATTGAACCTGCAGTGTTACTTACCAGCAATGCAGTGTAAGTCACGTGCGCTTGTCTACAAAAACCGATCACCCACAACACAATGTGACTAGATTTGAACGTATTTTTTTGCTAAGCATCGCGGCACCGGATTTCGCAGCGACAGCGGCTGGTTCGAACCTACGGTTCATTGACCTACAGTTAAGTAACGGGAACTAGTGACGTTTGGCCATGCATGTGATAAATCGCCAAGAGCGATCAACAAGAAGAGCAAATGAAGTGAATCAACAAACGGTTAAAAAATACGTTCCAATGTATAAAATATCGTTATCGCTGTGCACTAACGCCAGTCAACAAAATCTGCCAATATGCAGGTGTCGCTTAAACATTCGTCGTTATATTTAGGTGGCAAACATAATGGACGAAAAACTCACAGGCTCATCCGATGCAAACAGCATTTAGACTCAACAGTGGAAAGAAATAAACTTCCGAAAGGGGATGCAACATACCTGACGAGGAAACACCAGAAAAGAACCTGCCGTTATTCCAATTCAAATTAAACATCTGATTCGATGTCCTTCTCAGACTGTACGAGGAAGAGACAAGAGATGAACTATTAGCATCAGAATGTAAAGAAGGTAAAAACAGAAATGACAGAAATGGAGGGAAACATGTGCGGAAAAAGTGCAATGAAGGTTAACCGAAAAGTTACACTGTAAGCGAAAGATTCATGAAGAATCGAACAGAAGTAAAGACAGCAAAAAATCAGAAATCAAAAAACTAACAGATGCAATGTTGCAAAACCTTAAGGAAAGGGCTAAATGAAGAAGTCTGAGAATTTCACTACAGATTGATAACGAAAAATCGATTGCAAATAACCGAACGAAAACCAGATTATCATCAGGGACAGACAAGGGATATTGAACATCCTATGAACGGTTTCTGTACAAAACTCTTCAAACTTTCAGAAGCACTGTTGGTCTTCCATATGAATCTGTGGCGTCTATTAAATGGTTGTCGGTATAAAACATCATCCAAAGGTATTTCAAAAAACAAGACTGAGAAACGAGTTTCTACAATACAGTAAAATAACAAAAACATTACAATGTTACGAACTTCGGAATTTCAGACTGGATATACTCAACCTGTATTTCACTGTAAGCATGGCATAGTGCCACTGAAAAATGGATACATTTTATCT